TTTATATAAATATGTGCATGATTATGCCCTAATAAAATAATAAAAATGATATACCTTAGACAAAGTGCATCCAATAGCTCGAAAGTTTTTGGAAATATTTATATACTTTGCAATTGAAAAAAAAAGTTGCTACACTCGGAGTGGAGTTCTAGCAACAGAATACAGTCAAAAGTCTTTAATCCGGACTCGCCGGGACTTCGGTGATTCTGGATTATAGATCATCAGTTTAAATCTGGTAAGATGGCATGCAGAAATTATATAATTAAAAATTCGAAACCGTAATTTATGAAATAAAGAGCAATTATGATTTAAAGGGTATCAAAATTTACAAAAAAACTATATTTGTTTACTTTATTAAACATTTCTTTCAACGTGCATGCGTAAAACATACATTACGCATAGTCAAAATTAAAATATTGCAACCAGAAAACTATTTGATGTGTATTTATAACGACGAGAAATTTGATTTAAATCATATCAAAGACTGAGTACATAGAGATGAAATACTACATTTAGTAAGGAATTATAAGCCAAATAAAATTAAAACATCTGGCCTAAAGATAAGGATAGTTCTGACAGATCAACTTCCAGTTCATTGCGCACTGCGACGTCCCCCCCCCCACAGAGCAGCACAAATTGATAAACAGATTTCGGAATGGTTAAAGAAACAAACCACCTCTTTGTCACTTTCTTCATGCCTTTATCCATTTTTTGCCGCAATTCCACTTTTTGTTTAATGGACATCGAAACATGCTTTCGCTTTGTAGATCCTTTGGCAGCTCCAGAATCGGAAATTCTTTTTGACATAATCGAAAATTCAAGCTTACTTTTATGAAATTGCTCTAACAGTCTGCAAACAATAATAAGCTGGATCCAATTAGAAGATTAAGGAACAACGCAATCTGCAACATTAACTAAAATAGATAATTTTAGCTTAGCTTATACCGTCCGTTATACATTAAACAAGCATGCGTAAACGTATTATGCGCAATAAAAAGTTTGCAGCTTTGAGGTCCGAATTATAGATCATTCCAGATTAAAGACTTTTGACTATAATTAAATTACATCAAACTTAATATTACAAAATATACAATACTTCCTAACATCAAATAATGAAAAGGTACACACGAAAGTTTCTAAATCCAAAAGAAATGTCCACAAGAGCTAGTCTCTTTAACAGTGTAATACTTAATAGTGTGACATTTTTCAATACAATACTGCTGTATATTATTTTAATTCATGATCTTGAAATTCAGATATTAGACTAGAAGAGTTCATACAAATAAAAATTTAAATTTAAGGATTGGACAGGAAATCATTGGACAGGAAAGAGCATTAATTGAAAGGGATTTCTAAAACAGTAGCGAAAAAATTTCACACAAATGTTTCAGCAATTACAAAGTTTCAATGTATTCAATTTTTATAATCAAAACTGATTGAAAAGGGTTACTAAAAAGGCACATGAGATTTACACTTTAAGTACTGTCCGTTTATCATCATATCTACTCCTATCAGTATGTCTAATTACAGGTGGTTACTATAGTAACCGGACTTACACATTTCAAATAGGGATAAAATAGGTGAAAGCTTTATCATCTTTTTTAGAAATAGGCAAAACAATGTTACAATCAGTGTTTTATTTAAAACAACAATTAAAGAGCATATATCACCAATTTGTCATTAAATGTGCCAAGAAGGAAACATAAATGCCTTTTCCCCTTTCAAGATAGGTTAGGGCTTGTTTCTACGGCAACAGAGAAGAAAATTCTGTCTGAGGTATTTTTGGGATAGGCAGATAGCATGAGCCTTTTGTCAGAATCCAGTATATTTAATAAATAAAATACAATTACAAAATCAAAAATATTACTTTTTAAAGGATAAATTTTTGTTCAAACACCCAAATTAGACTTTTTTAAACTGTGTACAAATACATTTCTTTGAGGGACGGAAGGGGAGAAGTACATAAAAATTAATATATTTTATATAACAATTTATTTTTCACTTCTACTTAAAGTTCTGAGGATTTTGCAGAAAAGCCTCTTCATAATTTAAGAATAAAATTATCTAATAATTTCTTTTATCTTTAATAATCATCATTTCTATAATAATCTAATAATTTCTTTCAATGAATATTCCTAATTTGAGTTAGGATCAATATCAGAAACTATAGGCTTCAATGGAAGTTTTTTTTAAACTTCATTTCTTAATACTATTTAATATTAAGGGGAGGGAAGGTCACTAGCAAAGGTATTTACGAAAGAAATGAAAAATAACTTAAAATTTACAAACTTAATAATGTTTTATTGCTTTAAAATAGCAAGAATAGGTAACACTGTACCTATACCTCATATCAGGGCTCAATATATCAATATATAAAATTAAATTGGCCAAACAAATCAGACACGCATCATCTTCAATTCTAATTACCACATCAACAAAATTCAAACAATAGTTTTCATGAGATTTACAGCTTATATGCCAGATTTTTCAGTTGTTTATTAAATGCTTTCCAAATTGTCAATATGACTGTAACACAACTAAATACAACATTAAAAAAAGTTAATAAGGCTAAAACTGGGGGGGGGGTGAGGCAATTAAAAAGACTAAAAGTTCTATTTTCCCAGGAATTTTTATTTACTGATAGTTAATACTGTTTTTACAAGTAGCAACTATAATTTTAAAACACATTTTTCTGCTAAATATTTAAAAGAAAGCTTGCACATTAAAATTTTTAGTGAGTTCAATAAGGGTTCGTAAGGGTAGAGATTATCGATTTTTCTAGGGACTTTTTTTGACATGCCTACGAATGCAAAAAGCATATCATGTTTTCAACTTACTCAAATGCCTGCTGATTGCCAACTAAGAAAAATGCTAAAATTGAAAGTAAAGGAAACATATCAAAATTTGATTCATTTAATCTTTCTTGCAACACAGACCTATTATAAAAAGTCATTTAATACTTTTTCATTATTACTATGCCCTTTACAATGAGTAGCCTAGAGGCAAAATTTGAACTTGAATTATTTAATTTGAGGAATCGCAAGTGAAGACTATCTGCCTAAATTCCAATTCAATGCTCACCAACAGCACATTATGGAACAGAGCCCCATGGTTTTCTTCCACCACTAGTCTTTTAAAAGGGCTCACAGATTGACAAATTGTAAGTGCTCTGCAAACTCAGCAAAGACAATTATTACAAATCTACATGCCTTATCTAGGATTTGAATCCAAAAAATTGCCATAAGAAACAGCCTCTGCTATCCAGTAAAATATCTAGGGTGACATGATTCTGATTCACCACTAAATGAACAGTTTTAAATTAATTTCCCTTAAAAGAATTTTTCATCAAAGTTCAACACTGTATTTTAACAAGTATCCTCTTATTTATGCTATATCTAGCATATAGCATAAAATTTAAATTTTGTAGACATGGCAATTACATATTTACAAAGTACACCTTTTCTAAATTACTAAGTATATACATAAAAAATATGTAAGTAGCATTTATAGTACAAAAGTTACTTCTCACTCAAATGACAGAAGTTGCTCACACTTAAATAACCAGTTATATTTGGCCAGAGTTAAAATTTTCTTCACATACAAAATAAAAAAACCAATATTATTTTATCAAATTGGAGCGGAATAACAAGCAGATTTCCTGCATACTCTAACAAAAGTTTGAAATCACATAAAATCTCATGTTTCACAGTGTTTTAAAAAAAAAAAAAAAAGTACGAATATTTTGCCAATAAATAAAATATTTTAATAAAAGTAATAGAATTTTAGGAAAAAATATTTCCATAAAAAGTGTTGCATTTGTAATTTAACATTCTAAGTGGTATCTCCCTTATTGAATCATAAGGTCACTACGTCAATATTAAACCTGATGTCTTTACAAAAAAGTTATTTCTTCCATTGATGAAAATACCATTCACAAGATTTGTAAGTTAGGAAAATATATAGTAAATTATCCCATAAATCAAGGAGGGGAATTACTGTATGAATACAGCATTTTACTAATGGCTTTAACAGTGCTGTCAGAGAGTTACTATATCATCATTTGCATGCCAATCACAACTCTGAAAATTTGGGAAAATTATGCTCAAATATTTGGCACGTGCTTGGTATCTCGATTTTTCTACACAATTTCCATATATTCACCCAACAGAATATACATTGCTGTTCTTTTTGCATATGAAACTGAAATGAAAAAATAATGCCGAAAACTGATGCAAATGAAAACAGCAAAAATGCAGATTTGTGATTCTTGTGTGGATGATATGTTAATTACATAACACGGTAACTGGTAAAAAAATTCTTAAAATTAGCATCAAAAGTTTATTTTAGAAATAATTTTAAAAGTGTTATTAAATAAAATGATACATAAAATACTTCTATTTGAAAGTATACTGATTTAAAAAAATTCGCTAGAAATTTTAAAAACAGCTATAATACCAGATGCATGTAAATAAAAAGTGAAAAAAATCCAAACAGGCAGTGATTAAAAGAATGTTAACAGCAAGTTAATTAAGTTAACAGCCTTAATCTTTAAAAGTAAATATAGTGGAATTTATAAAAACGAAAATGGGCAATTACACATACCGTAAACTAACCTGACAATTTATACAAAGAATGCTGAAAATAAGATGCATAACAGTGCCCATATGAATTTTATTTAAATATATCCACATATAAAATTAACAGTGAGTAAACATTTTAAAAAGTGGAAATAAAGTCACTTTAAAAAAGAAAACTTGTACGATTTTCAAAATCGAATATTTAAGGCTTTCACGGAATTTAAGTACTCTAACTATTTAGTATACAATGGATAAAAACAGATTCTATAAAATATAAAGCACATAAGACATTGGTTACAAATCACACAAATATTGCCCAGATAGAAATGTCAAGTAATAAATCAGTAAATATAAGAAAAACTCCAGAATTTTTAAGTGAAACAAAAAATTGTCAATACAAATGAAATAAAACAGAAAATAGCATTAAAATCTCAATAGCCTTTTATTTTATGACACACTGCTACTTAATCATTCTTCTAGAATATATACCGCTTTATTTAAAAGACAATCACCTTATATAACTAAACAGACTTTAAAATTCCAATACATCTTACAGCATTTTGAACAGCACTGTTCAATTCTTTTTAATATATTTAACACTTATTGTACTTCTTATCAATCATTATATACTAACTTTTTTAAAATTTACATTAGACAGTACAAGGGGCCATAAACTTTTGTGCTAAACTAAGCAGAACAAATATAAAAACATTATATGTATTACAGCCAACTAAATAAAGCAATCATGTAAAAGGGATATGTGTATCAGATATTAAAAAAAGTTTGGAAACAGAAGAGTTTATGATTAAAAAAAATCTTGAAAATATATCAATATTTTCAAGAGTGCAGACATAAAAAATGCAGCATATTTATTACAACAGAAAAAAACAAAAATTGAATTAGAGTGCTAAATTTGCAGAACAAACAATAACTTCTCCCTAACTTTCAGTTAAATAATTTAAACCGAAAGTTGGCTACACCAGTTTCTTTTTATCCCCCTAGTTTACATTTTAAAACTGGGCTTTCCTAGCATGAAGGCATATTTTCAATTTCCTAACAGTCAGAATGTTCTCAAAGGCAAGTGCAAAGATGACCCTCAATGGAGGATATAAAATCACATTTCTTAACCAATCACCTACATAGTTAAACAGCTTATAGACTGTAAAGAATTTAAACTAATTCTAACTTTTACATCTGGTACATTTCTTTTTTTAATCTAGTACCAGTAATGTAATTCTGACAATAAAAAGATAACATTTTAAACATATCTTTAATAATAACCACATACTTCCTATAATGATAAAGCACAAGAACAGTATAAGGGACAATGTATAAACACCTGCTTGGAAAAAAATGTACTCGTTTAGATAAATGTTATTCTAATTGAGTAAATTTGTACATTCAATCTGCATAGAATTTATCAGTAATGATATTTTGAATAGATTTATTTATACAAAAATTACACAAGAAGTTAACCTAAAAAAATAATGACAATATTTTGCATAGGGTTTTAAATGAAATCACACATTTGTTATTAAAAAATCTCAAACTCTAAAAATCAGAATGCTTTTAAAGCTTCTTCTGTTTATTTAATTTAAAAGAAAAAACAAACACTTAGCTAGCAGTTACTTCAAAATATGAACTGCATGGCACTAATTAATTATACAACATTCTGAAAATCACAAATTGAATTTTTGAGTGAAAAATATATATTTATATATATTCGCATTATTTTGCATATATCAACATTGCATTTTTCAAACTGAAATAGATACATCACAAATACTGGCTCAAAGTTAATATAAACTTGAAAATTTAAATTACACACAATTAAAGGCATCATACGCAATTCAAATTTTGATAACTATGAAATCGCAGTCAAGAAGTCATTTAATGGCAAAATTCAAATAGAAATTTTACAAAAAATCACTCTGTATACTGTCATTAAATACTATGCACATGTAATCAAAAGGAGTAAAAACTGATAATAGTTTTTAACATTTTTGTCCACTATCTCAATAAAGGCACTAATATTTTCAATTGTATAACCTATATGCTTCGTAATTAATTCTTATCACACCAAAGATATTTGAATAACAGCATGATATTAAACATTAGAAACATTCACTAGAATTACAGGCAGCTGAGAAAGGGCTACAGCTGTCTTGATTAGTCTTGCTCAGCAAGTAGCACCCAGAGCACCAGGTTAGAGAAACTGCAGAGGTCAGAATTACACAGCAAGCACACACTACATACATCATTGATGACTGGAAACATTGTCTACGGAACATCATCACGCTAGAGGCGTGTCTGGAAAAATAGAAAAAGGAGTAAGCAGAGAAGGCAGATGCCTAGAAAGAGTAAGGCAAATAAACATCCTTTAAATTTGTATATTTCCTAAGATAAACAAACCCCAAAAAATCATACTGATTTTGCTGTTTGATCAATGTATTCAATAATAGAAGTGAAATGAAATAACTATTTTAAACAAGTTCTAAAAAGTAAGAATTTGAATTTGAAAAATACCATAAATATCTGTAGTGAATGAGAAATTTAAAATTTTAGCGCCAAATCAAAATATTTAGATTAAAAGGTTCATATTTACTAATGACAATAATAAATCTTCAGTTTTAAATTGTTAAAATGAATTTCAAGTTTTGCTCTACACTGAACTTCTAATTATCTATGTGTTGTGTTTTAGACTTACTTTACAGAAAAGACTTACTTTATCACAATGAATGAAATGACTTTTGATAAGAAATTCATGACTGAATTTCTTCTCAGAAGTCCTCTTATTCATGATAAGAAATTCATATACTGAATCTCATTGCTAAAGCTTGGAATGGAGTTAACAGAATGTTACTGAACTGGGGGATTTTCTCAGTAAAAGGCTTTTTTCAATGGAATGGTTACAGTACCTTTTAAAAAATTATTACCATGTTCAAGGGGTTGAAACTAAAAATGAAGAAAATGCAGACATGTTGATTGGGGGAGGAGGCTACATGATTTTATCAGACCAAGGCATCTGCAGTAGTGACTCAAAATGAACCAGAAGTACATTGAACAGAAAAAGTGCAATGATAAGGATGACTAAAATGCGTCACGGGAATGAGCAGATACGCAGTTATAATATTACATGGGTCAATGAAATGAGTTCAATTTTGAAGATGCACAATTTGGCATGGTGTTTGATTGTTTTGTCTGAAAAGATGCTAACATATCTCTAAAATATGGGAAAAGAAGATTTAAAAACTTTTTCTCAGAACAAAATATATACGTGGATATTATAATTAAATGACATCCTATTTAAATATAACACTGTGTTCATTAAATCTCACTGCAAACTTCTTTTTTATGGTATGCTCAGACTAACTGCAATTTCACAGGGTCATTTACAGATCATCTGTGCTTTCATTAATGCAGATAATCAGAAGTTCAGTGCCTTTCACTGTCAAGATCTAGTAACGCTTAAAAATAATCAGGAATAGGATAAGTGTTGTTGTTTAAAATTTGATTACATTCCATCTCAGAGCAAGTGTTTCTTCTGATGTTTCACAAAAATTAAAGCTACAGCATACTGTTAGTTGGAAAACAGTTAGTAAGTGCAAGACAGAAACAAATTAAAAGGAATACTGATAAAATTTAAAAGTACAGATAAGCAGACACCTATTAGTAAGAACTAAAAAGAAAGTTTGTTCACATCATATATTCAATAATCAGATATGAAACTGCAACTAAATCCTTTTGAATAAATATCAGCACAAGGAATCTTTTGATTAATAATAATAATAAAAAAACACACACAAAAAGACCTTACTACTCATCAAACATACAAAAAAATAAAATAATAGACCATAACTGGGGGGGGGAAGCAGGAATTACAAGACAAATTTAAATTTCACAAACTAGTTTTAAAACTTATGTTATAAAATGCAATTCAAACTCATTCACAGCAGATAATATAAGCATGAAATCTTTGCTGAACCACAAAGACATTTAAACTAGTAGACTCTGTATATACTATCAGTACTGAAGTAATATATTACTGGCACTACGTAGCATTTCTTCTGGAATCTTAATGCAGATGGTTAATATTCTGTTCATCAATTTTAACTGAAAAATTAAATTAGTTTAGGCCAGAAGATTTTACATTTTCCAATTTTTTATATAGCAGGGGTGGCCAAAGTGCGACTTGCGAGCCTGAAATGGCTCTCGCAGGCAATTCGTGCGGCTCATGCATATAAAATATATGTATGAAATATGGCAAACTAAAACTATTCAGTGTCCAAAAAGGAAGTAATTAATTAGTTTAGACTCTTTTTACAAAGTTATCAGGGATTTCATTCTATTTAAGACCTCCTCTACTACTTCTATAATGATGTAAATATGAACTTGTGGCTTTTAGAAAATCTAGATGTGGCTCTCGAACATTCCTGAATTCAAATGTGTGGCTCTTACTGACATGAAGTTTGGCCAACCCTGTTATATAGCATAACAAATACAAGAATATATATCAACATGAAACAGCACACTTTGCACTTGGGGGGGATGCTCACTTCTCTACTGAAATTATTTTTAATTTTCACATGTGTAGGCTATTTATATTTAAAATACAGTAGCTAGCTTTTAATTTAATTAAAATTTGTAAATCCCAGGAGAATGAAAAAAAAAAATTCTGAAGGAGGGTAAAGATGACACAATGAATTAAAAAAGCACAACATAAAACAAAAGTGCATAGAATGCAACCTACAAGAATTTATATTTTGGGTTATTTCACCAAATCAGAATGAATACCTAACAAATGAAGGGGAATTAGGTATCAGTTTCTCAGCCTTTCTTTTTAAATGCTGTTTATTCTCAATACAAGACACAACAAAAAATATAATTTTTTAAAGTGTTGGATAAAAGTAATTAAAATAACTTCCTAACTTCTTTAAAGCGTTGGATAAAAGTAACTAATTTAAACAGAACAAACTAAAACACAAACACAATTCGAAAAGGTTAGACCTTTAATGTTACAGAAAAGGGCATTTTTTTCAGTTTCATATGCTTTTCTAGGCATCACAGTAGACCAATCTGTTCTTGTGCTCCTTTCTCTCAACTATTCTAGTCCTCCATAGAATGGTAAATAATAATTTTGATTGGTTACTCCACAAGCTACGAAACTTCAGATCATGTAATATTTTGAAAAACGTTTTACGCTCTGGCAAACTGTCCAGTATGACAGATTTGAAGAAAAATCAGGTTCAAGGTCCCCGAGACTAATAAAAAAATGGAAGAAGAGAAGAAACACATGAAATGAATTTTTTTTAAAAAGAAATCTAGACTGCCAAAATGAGAAATTGATAGGATGGAGTTAAAACATGACATCCCCTTTTGGTTACACTTCCAGAACTAAATATAGCCTTGCCTTTTACAAAAGATTACACTTTTTAATGAAGCAATACATTTTAAAATCTTAAAAGGTAGCTAAAGAACACTCAGCTTGAATCACAGAAGCATTCATGATGGTTTGAGCTTTTATTAAACATAAGTACCAAATCATTTAACTATATTATCATGCAAGAAGAAACAGGCTTAAATTTTTCAATCAATATTCTCTGATTGCCTTTTCTGATAAAAGTTTTTTTATTAATTAACATTTATGTACATGATACAACTTTTATTTTGCAGTACTGAATAATATATACAGATCAACCTTAATTTATCAAATATTACTATATAGATAACATATCAACATTAAAAGGAACAACCAGAACAATAGGACCAAAGGTCTTTGATTTCTATTTCATTAGAGATGAAGAAAACCAACTCCCGCCAAAAGAGTCTTAAACAGGGCTCAAATTTTATACATGAAGATATACTACATAATGTTTAACAGACCAAAGAAGCTAGTTTAATAGCCAAATAGCAATTTATGTCAACCAATATAATATTATGTGTACATAATTCAATAACAATCTAATATGTGGAATATATAAGACAGAATTTATTAAAAAGTTCAATTATGAAAACAAACATTTAGAGTTTAAGGAGGCACATTAAACAGTGCCTAAAAAACCACAAACAGAGAAACAGCCACAAAACATATATTCAGAGCCGCAGGAAAACACATCATACCAGTAACAATGAAACAAAATTTACTTTATACAATATATTAATCTCAAAACAAATAAATACTAAAATATGCATTTATAAATTATGCACAATTTCATATCAAAAACATTAATTGGAAAAACAGAAGTACAAATAATGTGATAAAATACTCTTTCATGCAATACCTATGTGCAACTCATACAACACAGAAAATTAAAGAAGATTCAACAAAATACACTTGGAGGATATCTATGAACAGTTTCTTAAAAAACAAAAAACTTGAAATTAAATTTTCAAACATGCAATACATATAAAATTGTGAAACCAAGTTATGACACCATACTTTGCAACAAGCATGCATAAAGATGTACTCTTTTTGCTGAAAACAGCTTTTTACCTAATATGATGAATAAGTCCTAAATTTTAATAGTCATAAATAATTCATTTTCCAGTGTAACTTCTATGTCTCTTTTTCTCTCTCTAGAAAATGATAAAGAGTAACTGACTGCTTTAATTACACATATCAGTTTAACATATGTATGCAAGAAAAATACATAAACACATCTTATAAAAATGCTTTAAGTACAATTCCATCAATGGTCTTCTCCTAAGAAATGATAAATGCGATAAATATATAGAGAAAAAAAATGCTCAGTTCATCAAAAAACACTCAAACAGAATTACGCATTGACAGATAGTATTTTTTAAACTAAGCTATCTTCCATAACAGAAATATAAAATCTGATAAATGCTCAAATTTTCATACTTTGGAAAAACAGATTTATTTTAATGCACATTTGAAATAATGTTAATAGAAGAAAATTATGTTTACATAAATAAAAAGTATTAAAATGTTTTTACACTATCAGTATAAAATAGAAAATCATAACATATGAGAAATACCACAATGCTACTAGTAAAATAATTAAACTTTACACTGCAAATGTGACACACAATATTAAAAAATGCATATGTATAAATACAGAAAAATTAAATCTGGATAAACTTAAGTTAAAAAACACTCAATATTTTTAAGATTAAAATAAATTATTCCAACAGATGCGTAAATTCACACATATTAACATAGAAAACTTACAAGAATGAAAACTATTCTATTGTTTCTCCTTTTATTGCAGATAATTTTTTCCAGTTTGCAACCACAATTAAAACTGAGGGGAGGAAAGGGGATAAACATATTTGTCCATGCGTAGATAAAATTATATCAAATTTTCTTTCAATTTAATACATTCCTTCATACAAGCACAAAATTTTGAAATAAAGAATAATGGAACAAAAATGACAGTAATAATTTAAGACAAGTTGAGCTATATGAATATATTTGTGAAATCAAAATTAACACAGAGAAAAGAAAATAAACAAATTCAAATAAATCTCTTTTAATCAGAGATAAAAACAGAATTATTCAAAGTATTTTAAGTATTTACCGAACTTTTGCATGAACATGAAAAATAATAATAGACAGTCAAAACATCAAAGAAGTATAAATTAAATTAATTCAGTATAATTTTGTTCTAATCTGTTAATTCCAAAAACAAAATTTCACTAGGTACAAGGGAATCCAACAAATACATATTTTACATTATATACATGATATGTTAAAACATATTGCATGTACAAAGTCAAAGAATCTATGTTATGCATTCATAATTTATCACACACACAAAGGAGGGAAAAGCAGGAAGAACTGATATATATATATACTCATAAATCAGTTTATCCACAACTCATATATCTTTCTAAAATTATTAAAAATGCAACTTAAAATAGGAACATGAAAATTTAATATAATTCAGCACAAACTGTTACCAACTATATACATGCATGCATGCATGCATTTTTTTAAACCCATACCTTAAGTACTTAAATGAAAATGCTATTGAAAGCCCATTACATACATGGGGGTAATCTCATTATTTACAAATTTTTACACTATAACTGCTTCTCACTAATAGCAATACAGGATGGATTTCAGAGGGGGGATCCTTAATTTTCTGAAGTCAGCTGATTTTACCACAGAAAAACAATGCAAATTTTAGATAATTTTAATAACATTTTTAGCAACTCTTTGTTTCATAATTTTACAAATGCTGCAAATGAAGATGCAGTTTATGTCACAGCTAAATTTTCCATAAATCTTTAGAAATTCTTCACACAAGCATCTTTACCTGATCTGTAGACTGGAAAAGCAATATTGATAAAAAAAAGATTATAAATCAGTTGCTTAAGCACATAAAAGAAAACTTGAGAAAAGATACAGTATGTTATTTTCTGAAATTATATACATGTATTTATAATTACAGAGCAAGGACACTTCAGACTTTCAAATTAATAGGATTAGCCAAAACGAGGAAAAAGAGCTACCTTAAAAAATTAAATGCAGTGGTAAAGTAAATCATATATCTCTAACTGAGGAAGCATAAATATGCATTTTCAATAAACACAGCTTATATTTATAATAATAAACAGATGTTTCATTTACTTGGTATTACCATGTCCTTTCACACATCAAACAGAGGCTTGTTAAGCAATAGAAGCATAGTATGGTCCTAAAATATAGTTAGTGGGCCAATTATCATTTACTCATTAGAAAATAAATCATCACTCTCATCCATGTTACTAATTGACTCATTTACCATACCAATATGTCTTTCCTCTGATAAATAATGTTTGGTCACCACAATAAACTGAAGTCAAGGCTTTCCAAAATAAAAAAGGAAGTATGCAAAATGTAAGTGATAAAATCAATGCAAAGCGTTAAAACAGAACCCGACATTGTATTGTCATTTATGACAATACAATGTCATTTATGACTTCTTACAAAAATGTTAGTCGCAATTTATTTCTCATATTCACCATATTTAACACATTCAAGCCTTTTGGGCTAATGAATGACAGGTGTTAAAGATGCAAGATTAAATCAGATTAATAATAAAACTGTATTTATGCTACTGTGCTGCATTGATGTGCAAAATATACTAGACTGTTGTAATAAATCAAAAATTGCTTTGTGATTAACCTGCACACCATACTTGATGTAGAGTATAAAAATAACTACTGACATGCCCAAATATAGAGGGTATAATAGAATTGATACAAAGTATAATAACTTTAAGGGGTGGCAAAGCACATAACATTTATTGTGTAGAAATATATGGGCACAAGAACTGAGGCACAAGTATACAAAATAAGACATGAACGGAAGTAAATTATTTAATCAAAGCATTACTGAAAAATGATTCTTTCCAATAATGTTTACAATAATTGCTCAAAATTGCTTCCATCAAAAATAATCAATAGCACAGGCTTAACAGAGCATCGATAGTTGCTTGCCCATACTGTTGCTAGAGAACAGTACATGATTTGTCTAGTAGAAATATCTGGCATGTTTGAAACTGTATACCAATCATTCTTTTGATGCTGTCATTCGTGTATAACTGTTGGTGAACACAAATTTGAGCATTTATTGTGAACAACATACAATAATAGTAAAAGAACACTTGCCAATGATATTGCAAGTAAAAAATTTATATTTTCTTTCATGTCTTCTTGTGTGTAACATTAATTCATTTATTCAAATAACACTCAACATTAATTCATTAACACCATTTGTACCAATACATTGATATACAAAACACATCCACTGCAGTGCTCCTTAACCTTTTCCAGATAGGCGCCCCATATACACATTCCCTACGAAGATCTCAGATTAGCCGTGTATCCCCACTCACACACCACTGGAGATTGCACTGATGGGACGGGTTATGTGCACATGCATTTTAAGCTGAACGATTTTTTAAAGACAACTAGATGACATTATGTGTCCATTACTTTTGAATTGAACAGTTTTAAGATCCTGACCTTCAGTTTGATCACATTCTGCCTAACTCTGGTGTCAGCTATTGCGGCGGAGGAAAGGGGAAGCTAATGTAAGTAAACAGAGCTTATCTCTTTAATTCACCACATGCTATAAACATTTACCATCCTGACATTCCTTTAAATTCATTTTTCATTCTTTTTTTCACTATTATGAAGGGTCTTTTAGGGTTACAATGTCGGGTTCTGTTTTAACGCTTTGCATTGATTTTATCACTTACATTTTGCATACTTCCTTTTTTATTTTGGAAAGCCTTGACTTCAGTTTATTGTGGTGACCAAACATTATTTATCAGAGGAAAGACATATTGGTATGGTAAATGAGTCAATTAGTAACATGGATGAGAGTGATGATTTATTTTCTAATGAGTAAGACAGCAATATTTCAGCGATTCTCATACATTTTATCATACAGTGGAGCTTACCAAGTGCCTGCTTTCCCCTTCCCAAGAAAAGTTCTATTACTACTTCTTGTAAATAGTCTTTCTCGTATTTATTTTATTAAGAAATTTATTAATGTATTTTGTCAATTAAAAAATTTTTTTGTCGGTTTTGAGTAGCATTTTTTGGAAATAAGCTATTCTGTGTATCATGATAAGCCTTTACGTACACCTATGAATACTTATCATGAAAGAAAACATTCTTATCATTTAAATTGATAATGTATTCCTCAATTATGAAGCTTAATTTACCATTTGGAGCCCCCACCATAATTCATAGACTTTCCACGAGTCCAGGAGGAAGATTTAGCACATTTTTACGTGCCATTTTATTAATCTTTCTGCAGAGATACAAGGCAGGTAATTAACATGCTTCTGACTGTGCTTTTTGCTTCAGTGGAATAATGGTTATATTTTATCCCTATGAAATCCTAGTTGATTTTTCAAGTATCACACTTATTAAAATCATATTAACTAAATAAAGAGCAATCTATCCCTTCAAACTTCAGCTGGAATGACTGGCAAAAAATTGGCAAGATCATCACCAATTTTCATGGCTTATGGAATTTCATAAATGAATATGATGTTTTACTTCAGCATTCATGTTTCAAATGGCCCATTTCATTCAACATATCACATAATTCAAACATAGGTGTTTGATATTGCAGTTGATAACAAATAAAATTACTCTTTTTTTTTTTTTTAATAATTCCAGACCAGATACTTTTCCTTTTATTCATTTGCTTGGTTTTACCATGAACTGCATATTTCATATGCTCAATTACCCAGAGTTCAGCATTTCCCAAGCTTTTACTGTAATATTAATATTTAAAAATAATAAAGAGAATGCAAAATTTAAAATTCATAACCTAACATGCTCATTTTCTTGATCCAGCCAATTAAAATCTCATGCTCAATTTCTTGATCCAGTCAATTAAAATCTAAGAAAGTCCTTTAAATTTGCATTTTAATTTAATCATAGCTGAATAACACTCAACATTAATTTAAAAGTCAAACAACAACAGCATTATATTTTCAAAATTTCACAGGACTAGTTTCAATGGTTTTAGCGAACCACCATCCTCAGCTGCAAAAGCGCAAATGAACGAGATAAGATATAGTCATTAGATAACATAAACATAGGAGTCAAGCTACTGACGCCATCTGCTGATGAAATCAGAACTAAAACATAATTTCTTTAAAGGCTGACATCAAAGACGGATTGGAATTAGAGTCATTAACTAGAACAGAAAGATTTGTTTGAATGCGAATGCCTCTAGAAAATCCAGTTCACCAATGGAAGATGTTTTTTGAACAATTTTGGCAGCAGAAAAATTGAAAGTGTGATTGAAATGAAAATTTGAAAATATAACGCTGATTTTTGTTGTTTGACATGTTATTATAACTTAACATTCAACATATTCGAAAAATGTTCATTATTTACATTATTTCTTAGATATAAATGATTTTCTGTTCCCATTTCTATCATTATCAGCCAAAACCAGAATGGAACTACCACTTGCTCAGTTGCTGTACTCATTTGGCATCTGGTAGTCTGCCATTCTAAAAATTAAGTACATGAAGTAGTCTAATAGCAATAACATCTTGAATCGGTTTCATGTTCAGTCCTGTAACTTTCTCCACCCTGTACATTTCAACTCTTTATTATTAAATGCAAAACTACTTCCTATCATGATCCCTGAAAAGAAAGCTGCAATATACTTATCAAGCTGACAGTTCCACTCAAATTCAGTCTGCAAGCATCTATAAAGTAGAGAGAACTCTGAATATTTTCTTGCTAACTTTTTTAAAATCTAATTTTATTTGAATACCCAATTTAACATTTTGCTATTTATTATATTGATTACATATATATATATAGTATTTACATATATTAAAACCAAGGTAAAATTTAGCAACTTCATAAAACAAGAATTAGCATAATAGCAAAATATAATACTGTATCATTATTACTTTTACTTACAACTATGTTTCATTATTAACTCAGATATAAAAAGTTAAGATTACTGAAAGTATTCTAAATGCAAGCATCAATGTTTCTGCGCAGGGTCTGAAAGAAGAGCATATGAATAAAGCAAAATTTGAAACAACATGACTAACTACTGAACAATATCACTTAAACTATGTCTTTTTATTCACTCTTGCATCTTATGGAGTTATCAAATCTAGCTAACACAACGCTAGAAGAAATTTTTCTGAGAAATGAGGTTCTTTCTTCTTTCATTGATTTAAACAGCAGGGAGGTTCCTAATAGAAAGAATTTTGACCAAATATTCTTGCTATGCACACAGGATATTGCAACTGTTGTGAAAATGCCTCGCTTGCAGCTCTGTTCCATGCAGATTTTGCCAAGGAGTGTCAACAAATCAGATATCCCAAAAGCCTGGAAATGTTTCTTTTGCCATGCTGTCACAGACAGCTGGCAGGTCTGATAATAGTTTTAGAAAACTGATGCTGTTTGATATGCTAAGTGATGTTCAGAAAGATACAATTAATTGATAAACAAAATTAATTTACATACTGTAACGCTACATATGAGATGATTGATTTTCTGGTCCAAGAAAATTGATGTCTGTAAATAAGACACTATCATGGTTGATTTCATTTTTTTCTGGTATTTTATTAACATGTTATTTTCACAGTATGTTTAGAATGAACAGAAGATCACATGACTTTATTTCAGTCCCCCTTTCCCTAAATCCTATCTGGAAATGATTTCCTAGTTGGAAAGCTATACTGATGCTCATATTTGTAGAACTGCAGACAACTTTCTAATTAAAAAAGGCTAGACTTGCAAATATATATGAAAGAAATGACAGAAAGCATTCTTTTGCATGCAACAT